AGAGATAATATATTGACTCTATCCTTAAGAATGAAAATAGAGACGCCTTGTCTGAGCCAGATTGTGCTACAGCTTTAAATAGCTATTTCTGGTCCGCAGTCTGAAACGAAAGTGATCATATACCTAGTTTACCTTGCTCTGGTTTTGAGCCCATGGCCCCCATCGACACTAGCATTTCTGCTGCCGGAACACTTCGACTTATGGAAGGTTTATAACTCGATTCGTCTTGAGGTCCAGACAATATTAGCCCCAGAACTCTTAGCAACACCAAAGTAACATCTAGTGAGTTTCTCAAATTAATATTTTCTCAGTCATTACAGCTGGGTTGCCTCACTGGACTGGAAGCTGGGGAAGGTAATTCCAGTCTTTAAAAACGGTGATCTTCCGCTGGCCTCAAAGTCCCATATGGTTAACCTGCATCGCGTCCAAACGTTTTGAACACATATTATTTTCTCATATTATAACATATTTAAAAGCAAATCACCTTTTTTTTTTTTTTTTAAATCATCAACATGGATTTTGTAGGTTTTTTTTTTTTTTTTTTTTTTTATGCGAGACGCAACTTTTAGTATTCATACAGGAGTTCATCTCTAATCTTGATTCGCAGGGCCAAACCGATGCTGTATTCATCGATTTCACGAAGGCATTCGACACAGTTCCCCATCGTCATTTAATTTCAAAACTTTCTATCCTGGGTATCGACCCTCTGGACCTACCTTGGATTCTGGTCTTCCTCTTTCCTCGCACTCAGTTCACTATGGTTAACAACCATATGTCGGATTGTACTAACGTTACATCTGGGGTTCCACAGTGGTCAGTACTTGTTTTTTTTTTTTTTTTTTATTAACGACTTACCTAATTCAATCAATTGTAGTATCCGTCACTTCGGTGACGATTGTGTCCTATATCGCAAAATTACTTCGTGTAATGACCATTTGCATCTTCAGAGGGACCTTGAACTAATTCATGGTGGCGCGCCAAATGGCTTATGCCATTAAACATGTTGAAATGTAAAGCAATAACCCTTTCCGAGAAGCGTTCTGCGCACGCGCGAGCGCCCGATGCCAAGCGGCGGAAGTCGGAACGAAAAATCGAGGAAATTCGGAAGGAGGCTGTATATCAGCGAGTAGAACACGCAACTGCAGCATATATATAATTGTGTTACACAAAAAAAAGAACGTCGACGGAAAGGAAAACACGACGTTTAGGTGGACGCGACGGATGCCCCTCTTTAAAGTCTCGTTGGGCAGGCGCCGCTGCTCAGAGAGCGAAGAAACTGGTAGCGTAGCTCCCATTATCGATTGGTAGAGCAGGTAGGTCACTTCCTCGATTTTTAGTTCGTGCAGCCACCGCCTGATGCCGTCGGTATGTAGAAAAGGTCCATTCGCTCCACTCGGAAACATGTAACATCCCATTTTTCGTATTCTATTGGTTCTGGACTAATCGGCTCTTCGTCCATTCATAAATATCTTGGTGTAACACTGACCAGCGACTTGACCTAGAGTAACCACATCGAAACAGTCGCAGCAGACGCTTCGCGCATTCTCGGGTACATCAAAAGAAATCTGAAGTCGGAACTCTGTCACCTCCGGAAAATGACATACGAGACACAGGTTCGACCAAAGTTGGAGTATGCAGCAGCAGTTTAAGGCCCTCATCAAATTTATCTGATTAATCCTCTTGAGCCAGTTCAAAGTCGCGCGGCCAGATATATTCTTCATGATTATTACCGAACTATTGTCTCTGCCACTGAAACGCCAGCTGGATAGTCCAACTTTGAAGTCGCGCCGTAAAATATCGTGCTTAACCCTATTTCATAAATGTTTTTGTTATAATCCAATGCTTCTTAATTTACTCCTACTTCGTCCTAGAAGAACATCGTCCCGACTAAACCACTCATGTCACGTATCTCGGATCAGCGGCCGCGCGAACTACTTCAATCGATTTTTTTTTTCCGCACACCATCATGACCCTTTCTTGTTCCGCACTGCTTTGATTACACTTTTTTGCTAGCGCATTTATATACCAGCTTTATTTCACATACAACTGTTCTTACGCTGTTTATATTGCCTACCATCACTGTAGCTGTCAACCACCTGCCTGTTCATGTGTTGGTCTGCCTTTTTCATGTATCCCCCTCCGCCCTTACGTAATGCCCCTGATGAATGAATGACTCCGGAATACCAAAGTAACACGTCATAAATGACGCAAATTTTTTTTTTCTTAGTGAGTATTTTACATTAGAATAGACCCTTTTCAAAAGTTAGCGCCGACGCCTGTCCGCCAATGCTCGATCATATATTCTGAGCCCGAATTGAACACGAGGACTGCGTCAGCGTTCGGCGAATACTCGTATCCAATCACGGGCTTTGTGTCCAAGCAATGGCGACCGCAGGTGTTGCTTGATGGACTTCTGCAACTAATCATGCTGAATGCTCTTAATTTTGTTTTGCGGAGTATACGCATTTTGTTGTATCACGTATTTGCATTGTATTTATTTTTTCATTATTTTTTAAAAGCTTTATTTTGTTTTTACCCTCAAAAGCTGGCCGGCGGTATTCTCGAAATAAATAATAAACGGGTAACAGCCTTTACGCTCGCCACAGTGAAAAACAAATATATTGCTCGCAGATGGGTCATAAAAACTAATTCAGACGGGCCGATTTTTCCAGAATTTTTTTTTGTTGCCGGTGGGTTGTTCCCTAGCTTTCCCTAGGTCGGGTCCGGCTTTGAAACGGACGAGCAACTCGAACAATTCGGAGACGTTTGAAGCGGCAGCAGCCAATCAGGAACGCGATATTTTCACGTGACACCCGTGTGGTGGTGATGATCACAGCTAAAGACTTGGTTCTAGTTTAAAATAAATACTTTTCTTTTAAGACGAGGTAGTATTTTTAGCACAATTCAAAGATATAAAAACACGTTTTTAGCGCTTAGCTGTGCGTCTAAATAGCGCAAAAAAAAAAATCAAATTTCATGATGATGATGGCAAGTCGTAGCAATTTGGTTGCTGCGTGTGAACGCGGCCGGCCGGTGTTGCTGGTGTGGCGACGTCAAGCTGCTGGGTGAAATTGCCCCGTCTGAAGCGGAACTAAGTTGTTTTAAAACCCCTCATTTGTTTTGCGCTTCAGCGTAACTGGGTACAGAAGAATGCTGGCAGTATAAAGAACTACAATGTTTCTGTATCTACAAAACAAATTCAGTTTTTCTTTTTTTTTTTTTTTGGGGGGGGGGGGGGGGGGGAGGGGGGGACTTGATTAGCTCTTTGTTGTACCGTAGATTCACAAATATGATTGCCAGTCTGTGTAGGATAATTCAGAAGTAAAATATGTTGTATGGGAAATAACACTGCGAAAAGTTTGCTTGCCACATCCACCATATCTGCTATTATCGTTGCAGATTGGCCATTCGGCAAGTGTAATGTATTGATGCTCTACAGTGTATATATACAAAAGCAGACGACGCTCATCCAGATCCAAACAGGCAGGGGTCGGTATAGTGAATTTTACTAGTTTGCAATCAACGTTCGTTGCACATGAGTTTATTACATGTCTACAGTTCGCCGCACCCTCACAGGTCACGGACCCTTCAACGAGAAACAACGGCGGAACAGCCGACTTTCGGCCCAAGGCTTCCCACGCTCCGGCTCCAGTCATGCAGACGGACGCGAGGCCGGAACTCCGAGTGGAGCGTGCCCTGCTCAAGCTCGAGCTGCCGGACTGGTTTCGGCTATATTACAAACCGAAGCCAATAATAGACAAGTCGAAGCAGTTCGACGCATTTAGCTGGACGAAGTTGCGTAGCAGTGTCCGAATCCCGCGCCGAGCGTCGCCCCTGCCCAACGACAAGAGGAATCTGATCATCCCCAAAAGAGTGACGTTCCGGCCCACTTGCTATGACGTCACCGGCTTGGGTTCGCGGCCCAGACCCTGGCAGTCGAGGTCGATGAGGACGCCATATCTGGGCTGGAGACCCGGCCCAGGTGAGCGCTTGTGAGCTTTTGGAAGCACTTTTGGGCTGTTGTAAGCTGTTGCGAGCGCTTATGAATTTTTTTGAGCACGTGGGAGTTTTTGTGAGCACTTGGAAGTTTTCGTGAGCACTTAAAAGCTCTTGGGAGCGCGTATGAACTAATCTCAGCTCTTGTGAACACTTATGAGCTAGCGTAAGCACTTCGGAGTAATGGTGAGCTCTTCTGAGTTATTGTAACATTTTGAGAGCAGTTGTGAACATTGTGAACCCTTTGGGGCCTTTATGTGTGAGCCATGCTCACTTCGAAGCTCTTGTGAACATTTGTGAAGTCTTTCGAGCTTTTGGGAACCCTTGGAAGCCCTTGTGAAGAGTTGTGAGCTCTTCTGAGCTTTTGGGAGCACTTGGAAGCTCTTGTGAGCGCTTACAAGCACTTGTGAGATTCGTGAGCTGAAGTATACGCTCTACTGAATACTTTTGAGCTCTAGAAAAACTTTGTGAGCACTTGTGAGGAGTTCTTTCGGGTAGTCGCGACCTCTTTGAAGTACCTGTAAGCTTTTGGGATCACTAGTGACTTGTGGCGAGCTCATGTGAGCACTTATGAGCACTTTTGAGCTCATGGGCAAGACGCCAGAAGCCCAATGTGAATGCGAAGGCACGTCATATCGGGGCACGTTTTCCAAGGTGCATGTTTAGAACGAACTCACATCTTATCGTCTGCTAAAAACGACGTTCCTCGGTGTGTGGAATGCACGCGTTTCGGGAGCATTGCTGAAGCTCGCCATCAGCACGCGTCCAGCCGCAACGGACTCGGCTGTAACCGCCAGTATGTTGTCTATTGTGTTTCTGGATTTAGGCATTTGCCGAAGAGTAACGAATAATTGTCGCCGAATATTACTTGTTCAAAAATCACTTCAGAGAAAAAATATAGTCACCAAAATCGAAGCCCTGTCCACTGGTAGTTCATTTTTTTTAAATTAATCTCTGCATGGTGTCTCCTACGTAATCGATGTTTACGCAGAAATGTTTAAACCCCCCTCCCCCCCCCCAAAAAAAAAAAAAAAAAACCTTGTTCTTTATTTGTTTCTTAACGTGCGTGCACATAATGGTGCAAAATATCAAAGCAAGGTTAGAACAGATTTATATTCCATGCTACCGTCCTTGTTCTCTGCTCCCGCAATGCTCTTTTCTGTTTTGTAATATTGCATTCGCCGACTTTATGTAACGGAGTCGCGCAAACGCTAACAAAAACTCATTTTTTAGTAGTTATTTATTTATTACGCTAACCTGAGTAAGCAAATCTACTTGGCAAATTCACAAAGTTTAGAATCAAACAACGCTCGTGATGTGATTTTTTTTTTTTTTTTCGTTTCTCGCTGATGAGCGCCCATGAGTGTCGAGGATGTCAATTTTATTTCCCATTCTTAAGGAGACGCGAGTTGAGTCCGCATGAACGCAGTAGGTGCTGATTATATGATATAGAGACACACCCATTGTGTATAAACAGCGCGCATTCTCCACTGTCCCCTATATACCTGCTCGATTGTATACATCCGGCGTATATTCCCAATTCTTCGCAACTTTTTTACGGTGTTAGCGATGATTTTTGGTGACGGCCATAGATTTGTTACAACGGAAGTATATGTTAGTTGGAGCTGTGTTAAAAAAAATTACAAATTAATTATTGTTGTGTTACTATAAGGATATACAATAAATGTCGCCTTGAGCCGCAGTCCCGCTGCTAATGCGTTATACAAAAGATAGCCTGCAGTGTAACGTGTCTTCCTTGTTCTGACGATGAGCTGTCACATCGTTCATACAAAAAAAAAACTATATACATATGTGTGAAGTAAACATGTTGAGGCGTGTGAACAGATAAGTGTGTCATCGTGTCTGCAACCAACACCGTGTCTTTTGTATACGAGCAGTTTGAAAGCGGCTGAAAGCCGAGGTCACACTGATGATACATCGTGCAGTCTGCAAACACCAGCCACCACAATATCCGTGGTTCGAATGCCGGGTTTCCATGTTTCACCCTTGAACTCATTGCCATGCGGCATTCGAAGCGCGGATCTCGCGGTGACTCGCGTTCGAATCTGTACGCAGATTGTCTTTTGTATGGGGGTATAACCAGCGTGACCCCGGTTTTACGGTGACAATGGCTTTGATGTTTGCAGGTTTTGAAGATAATTGTTGTTGTTGTCGTTTTGCTGGTTTTTTTTTTTGTTTTTGGTGGGGGGGGGGGGGGGGGGGGGAGGTACTCCTGCGACATTATACGCGGCGGCGATATTCCTTCAAACTTGGATTTCTATACAAAACTGTGGGACCAAGATAGCCCCGACGGCAGACCAGTCTATGCCAAGCTTTCCTCGTCGTAGCCAGTAGTTCCGGGGGCACAACCGTAATTAATTTTATCGCCGTTATCATTATTTCACGAAAAAAATAACACGTGGTTTTTCTTGATCTTGCTGTTGTCACTTGTTTGACCGACTTGTGGCCAGGGCGCACACATGGTAATTAGTGGACGGCTTCCTCGGCACGGTAAATGGTGGTGGCGGCGGACAAACTCGTCTCTGCGGAACTGCAGGAACTTCTTCTGTCGACCACTCTGGGTCACTTTCCAGTTCCAGCACGGTCGATGCGAGAACGGTGACCTCGTGCCGTCCCTTATCCACTGACGGATATCGTAGCCCAGACGAAAATGGCTAAGTTGAACAGCAGGCAACTGCAGTCACGGTTTATCAGCTCGTCTTCCTGGAGGTGTAAGGTTAGTTGCTATTGCTCGTTGGGCAAATTCTGATTCTCAGCAACTCAGCTTATACCTTATATAGACCGTAAACTTTCCGGTTTTAACCGAATAACACCGATAAACACCCGTCGGTGTCGAAAATACAAACTCGGTTATAACAACGAAAAACTCAATTCCTGAGAAATGTTTGCTCCAGCTAGGACTGTATGTGTCAAAAGATTCCCCTCTTACACTTAACATTTTAGGGTTTAACGAGATTGTTTTCGTCGGTCATCACCGCCTTTAGGGTCCGTTCGATACACATACTAACCGAAATGCACCAATATATAAGCAAGAAACACCAAAAAACTCTTGCCGATTTTTGTATAAATAAACACCGGAAAATCTGCGGCTTACTTATAAGGAATAATATTTATGAAGGTCGTCATGCACGTATATTTCGACGAGAAAATTATATTACCTTTCAAAGTAGCAACACACAGCAATGTATGTATGAATTGGTTCCGTCAATGATATTCAAATAGCTTGCTGCAGGATGCACTCATGCTTCTGTTGTTGTTTTTTTCCCCTTTTTAAATTTGTTATGCTTTTTTTTCTTGCGAGTTTGGGTTGAGTAATTAATAATGCCTGTGCCCGCTTTGTAAACTTAAGAAAACGCAGACGATTACTAAATCCAACAACGTTAGCAACGACAAAACAAGAACACGTCTCGAAAGAATACGCGTACCAACCAACCTGAGCAACGACCGTGAAAGTTCCCAGAATCCGTTCCAGAAACGAAAACAACTCCGTCCCAAACCGCCAAACAATCGAAGCCATTCATCTCCGGTCGACGACAGCCCTGCCGCGGAATCCCGAAAATTCCTCTACCAGCTCTTCTCCTTTCGCAAACCCGCTCCAGCAACGAGATATGACGGCAACATCGAACAGCTGTGCGCCTGGCGTCAGCCGAGCCAACAATGCAGTCGTCGCCCAAGCAAACATTTGCCGAGAGTAGGAAAATGGCGCTTCTCCGCATCGCACGGGCGAGAGGAAACGCGCTCGACCAATCAGCGCCGTCCCGTCCGCTCCCGCTCTCCGCGTACCTAGCAGACGACGTTCGCGTAGCAGACGACTGCGCGTTGCACTGCAGCGCTGGCACGCGCCGCGCGCAGACTACAACGGTTGCACAGCTGTGGGGGCCCGCAACCAAGCAAGGTGAAGGCCGGCACCGACGAACGACGGATCCCGCCGTTCGCGACGACTACGACAGCTTTCCCATGATTCCACGGCGTCGCGCCACAACGTCATGACGCAGCGGGAAGCTCCGAGGCCGGAGTCGGGCCTGTACACCGGCGGCCACGCCGCGCAGCAGGATGACGAGCAAACAATCGTCAGGTTGGGTTCGTCGTCGTCGCTGTGCGAAGAAGACTCCGACTCCGGGAGCTGGTGGTCGTACCCGTCCGAGTGCGGATCCGTCGTCGACGTGAACCGGGTGGTGTCGTTCGCCCTGCATGCCACCGACGATCTCGACTCTCTGCGAAGCTGCTTCGCGTCGCTGGAAGGCGACGTGGTGCCGCAGAGTGTGCCCTCGCCGAAGCAGCAACATCAGCAGAGATCGCCGGACTATCGAGACTCGCGGCCGGCGAACGCGCGGAGTGGCGTCGGTGACACGTTGGATAACGGCTGCATCACGGAGACGGCCAAACCGCCTGGAATACCCGCTGACCAGGTGAGGACGGCTCTCGGTCAAATCAACCGCGCTAATCTGAACCCCACCAAGACGTTCCGCAAAAGTTCCCTGGTCGGAGCAGACGATCGCCGGCCGCCGTCCGCAGTGCCATCTATCGAACGGCACGTCACCTTCAAAGACCTCTCGTCACCGTCATCTGGTAGTGACGAAGAACACTACGAGAGGAAGCCGCCCCAATACCGAAATCGAAACCATTCGGTTCCGGCGGGTTGCCATGGCGTCGGCGAGGAAAAACAAGCGTTCGTCGACAACGGCGACGTCGCTGCCGTTGCGGGAGAAGCCGACCTGGACGATTCGGGCTACCTAGACGGGGACAGCACATCGAGTTCGAGCGACGTCTCGCCGCCCAGCAGTCTCGGCTGGGAGAGCGGGATTCACACGACTGCAACTCGAAAGGCGGGAGGAGTCCGCGACAGTCGCGGCGTCGGGCAGCGATGCCCGGGCGACCATCGCGGCAACGACCTCTTCGAGCCTGAGCCACCGAAACGACCGGACGACAGCAACCAGACGGATGGGAAGCAAGCCATGAACGGATTTTACGGCCAAAACAACGCCGTGCCTTCGGCGCACGCTTTCGTCCACACCGAGATCAGCGTGTGCGAGAGCGTGCGGCGGGAAGACAGTTACGAGTACTACCGCAACGGGACCCGAGTCGCCAAGCTCAACAACGTCAACCAGACATCGTGGAGTGAATCGAGTTGCACGGATTCCAGCGAGGTGTGTACGCCGCTCGAGAAACCGACCCATTTGGAGCAGACCGCCGTATCCGCGCCCGGCCAAAACAAGAACTCGGCGCGTGCGCCAGAAGCGGCAGACGACACGAGCGATGGCGCACGCCACCAACATCATCATCATCAATCCGCGCCGCCCAGGCGAGTGCTGCCATCTGTGGACGAGGTACAGAAGCGCCAACAGAATGTGCCGCCATCTGTCGAAGTGTCTAGAAAGCATCAGCAGGAAGCTTCGGGCGTCCTCCCGAAGCGCCAATCCGCGCCTCGGGAAAGTGGGAAGTCGAAGAAAGAGAACAACGGAGGCAACGCCTGGAATGCCGACGGCGCCAGAACAACAACCAGAGCGACGAAAGGTGACGTCGCGTACGAGCATTGGCGGCACATCCCAGCGCGCGACGTGCGCGACGAAGGCACTTCTTGCGACTTGGAAGAAGGCGACGACGCTGACGACTACGACTCCGAGAGCGAAGACAGCGGTGACGCTCCATCCTCGCCGTCCAGGGATGAGCTCCGAGAGTGCGCCGACCGCGCCGACGCGCGTGCCGGTACAGTGAGCGCGACGGCCACTTCGAGGGCAGTCGCCCGGTCGAGACCCGGCGGGGGGACAGCGTCGGAACCTGCGAGCCGTGCGTCCGCGCTGGCGTCGGTGCGTGCCCAAGCAAGGGACCCTTTCCTCGCGCTCGCCGTGGCGACGGCCAAGGCGGCCACAACGGCGAGCGCGGAGGCGTCCCGAGAGATCTACGCCGGCTGCAAGCCCTTCTCCGCGGCACCAGATTTGGACGTCTTCGTAAGAACCGCCTGCTCCGTCGGAGGCGGCGAATCTGCCGCGCTGCTCGCCGACCGCGCCAAGCAAGCCCGAGACATGCCGGACTCCGGTTACATCGCCGTGTCTTCGCCGTACAAAGTGTCTTCGGTGCGGGCCGACGTACATCTGCCGACGCCCGTCCGCTACAAGGAGTTCTCCTCGCTGCAACTCGGCGGCGCCGCGTCGCAGCCCGGGGTGACGACCGCGACCAACGGCCACGGCGAACTGGCCAGGGAACCACTTCCCTGCGAGCAACGCTTCCTGCACGTGCACTCGGACGTGCTTCCCACACGGGAGGACCGCTCGCCGCCGACGCCGCCCCCGCGCTACACTCCGTCCCCCGTGCTCCGCGAGGACCGCGTCCGCCTGCTTCGTACTCCAGTGAAGAGCACGCCCGTCCTGGTAGACTCCCTCCCCGACTCCGACGACTGTGACGTCGCCGCTGCCGCCGCGCCCTGCCCGCCCGTGCCGCCGCCCAGAAATCCGCACAATGGGATACTCAGAATGACCAAGAGGCCGGCGACTCTGCCTGTCAACGGAGAAGCGACCGTGTACCGCAAGCCACCGCTGCCCCAGCAACCTTTGCAACAACAACACCATCGATTGCTGCGTCCGCCGCCTCCGCCAGTGAGACAACGGTCGCCGCCTGCTGACCCCGCCGAACACCTGGAACGCATCACCGGCTACCACACGGCCCGCCGTCTGGCGCAGGCGCTGCCCAAGCCGCAGGTGGTGCTGCCGGACCAGCCCTACTCGCACCCGGGCGGACGCCTGGTGTCCTCGCGGCGCCGCTTCTTCGAGAACCTCCAGCGACAGGTCGTGGCGGCCGCCGACCCCGACGCCGACTCTCCGTCCGAGCGCCTGTTGGGTTTCCAGGCAAGCGCCCAGGCGGCGCGGGAGAGCCTCGCCAAGAGTTCGCCGGACTTGGCCGCGCTCGAGGCCGACGCGTTTCGGCGCAGCCGCAACCGTCCCGATCGATACCCTCCCGTGCCGTACTCGGATGCGACGCCCCCGTCCCCCGCAGTGCCGAGGTCGCCCGCAGTCCCGCCGGAGAGCTTCAGCCGGCTCGTGGAAGAGACCCGGAACCGATACTTCCTGCGCAGCGGTCGCCGCCCGCGCGGTTCTCCGGGTCAAGATGAACGGCGCCGCAGCAAGAGCCTGGGCTACCTCGAGACGGACGTGGACACCCTCCAGTGTCGCCAGGTGAAGCGACCGCAGGACCCGCATACTCTCGCGGACCCCGCCTTCCCCGACTACTCCGAAGAAGAGCCCGCTCGAGCCGATTCCCCGCTGTCACGAGCCCGAAGCATGGACCGCTTCCTCGACGACGAGGTGAACGCGGGCCTCGGAGAACGAGCCAAGTCGGAGCACGAACTCCGCGTGGAACGCTCGCTGCAGAAGCTCCAGCTACCCGACTGGTACAAGAGGCACTCCCGACCCGCAGAAACCGGTTTCCTGCGGTCGCGACGCGGGTCGACGGCGTCAACGACGTCTACAGGCCGCCCAGCGTGGCAGGGCTTGGGCAGCAGGACACCGTCGGCGGCCAGCCTCGCTGCGACGTCGGCCTCGGCACCGACCACCAACGCGACCAACGCCCGCAACCTCGTCATCCCCAAGCGTGTGACGGCCCCGGACTGGCGGTGCTGGCACGCGTCGCGCGAGTCCCTCAGCTCCGGATGCGCGTCGCCTCACGACGGTTCGCTGAGCCGCTGGGGAAGCGTGAGCAGCGCGCCCGCAGCCGCCTGGTCCTACCGATCCTTCCGACAGCCGTACCTGGGCTGGAGGGCGACGCCCTCGACGGGAACCACGACCCCGATGTCGACGGGAAGCCGACCCGTGTCCCCGGGGGCGTCCTTGTGGACGCCTCCTCCTTCGCATCCTCCGCAGCAGCAGTCAGAGACGTCGGAAGTCGAGGCCGTGGGGAGTGTCCTGCGTTCGTCTCCTCATCCTCCGCCGTGCAGCATCCCTCGGGACCGGTACTCTTACGTGCAGGGTATCTACGGGGACGGTGGTGGGTGGAACGACGAACACGACTCGGTGCAGCAAGAGCAGGATGATGCGTGTACTTCGTCTTCGATGCGGCAGCACCGTCAGTTAGATCAGCAGCGTCAGGAAGTGGTGGTGAGTGATGCCAGACCGGCCGTCTGGATGGAATCTTCGTTCGTTGGAGCCAAGCCTGGTTCGAGTACGGCGGGTTCGCCGGCCTCTTCCGCTGCCGCGTTAGGTGAGTACGTCCGTAGTGTGGGCATCACGCTGTAGGCCCAACGTTTTCGGACCAAAAGGGATACCAAAAGTTCGTGTGGCCGCGTAGTCTTTGACCGAAAGGGATGATGCGTGGTCTCCTTGTGAGTGTCATGGCGGCGGAGAAACGGTGACCGTCTGCTTGCTTGTCGTCTGCAAATGCCGAGTTGTCTTCCGCTGGAGCGTCTTTGTCGAGTTGAAAACACAGGAAAGGGTAGTCTTTCTATATAATTTTTTTTTTTGTCAGTCTCTGACTGACATTTGGGAGCTCTTCAGCAAGATGTTGCTCTTTCAGCCGTGCGAATTTTCGCCTTCCTGGTCGCATTTTACTCGCGTAACCATGCGTCTCGGCTGAACAGTTCTTTTTGCGGTTATTTACATTATACGAATCCATGAAGAGAGAGAGAGAGAAACGAACTATGATAGTCTCGTTCGTTTACATGGCCAAAAAAAAGCAAGAAACCTGACTTATTTTTTCTTCCTTTTATATTTCAATACGTAGTTGAGTTAAAAGCTCTTGCTCTCCGCTCTAAGTTCTTCCCAGTTTGGCTTGGTACCTGCCGCAATCCGTGGAACACGCGCTGAACTGCTCGTTTTACGTTGTTCTTTGTCTGCCAAAGAAACCCTCCTACTGTTTGTGTTTGCACTGTCTTTGTTCCTGCCCCTCCGTGTACATACAAACCATATCCGCTGTTGGCGTAATTTATTGACGCTTTATAGACTGCAGAGCGAGATACGTTACGCAGGCTTTCCTAAACCACTTCCTTCCTCTCCAAAGCTTTTTTTTTTTTATCATTATTACTTTAGCTCTTGAGAATATGTAGCCATTTGTTCGATGGTTTTTAACGTTGAAAAAAAAAAAAGAAAAAAAGAAATCAAAACTATAATAAGAGTGTTGAAGGTCGAGGTTCGACGCAACCAAAGGAATTACAATGATGAATGCCGACGCCGGCTTCGGTCCAGCATGCACTCGTGACAAAGCGTTGAAAGCAGACGAAAAACAAAATGAAGAACGGGAAACGTGGTAGCCTTATAAATGCAACGGCGCTTGTTTAAAAAAAGAAAGACGCGCAGCTGCTGTTACATTACACACTCTTTCCATTGTGTTGTTTGTTGAATCTCTTTGATAGTTTGATTGTTGTTCGTCGTTGACTGCGTATATACATAGGTATGTTTGTTTACGTCGATCATCCTCACGCGGCATGCTGCTGTCGCTCTTTGTGTTTGTGACAGGGAAACCTTTTTCTGTTTTTTATGCGGGTGAATTTTCCGCAGAGTGCTTTCTTCCGCGCGTGCGTTTGTGTGTGAATGTCTGTTGGTTGGTTTGCGTGCGTTTTCAACCTCCCCTTATTAGATTCCCACCGTCCCCTCTACGCTACTGTGCGGCTGTGTTGACGACGACCTTGCTCATTGTTGTCTACCTTTGGCTCCCCGCTTGCGAGAGAAAGAGAAAAAATATATATAGTAGTGCTGCTAGTTCTGCTCATTTGTACCGTGGGTGTGTATATTAAGGAGAAAAGAATAAATAAAAGCCATATTTGCCCCCCTTTTTCCTTCGTTGGCTGTGAATGCGTTTCGTTTCTCGTTGATTTCGGCCCCTGAAAACACCACACTAACTGTTTTTGATCTCAGGAGTTTCGTGCAGCGTTCAGGGAGGCACGGGGGCGAGCGTGTGGCGTCTAAAAAGCTCTTTCCGAGAGCAAGATCTTCTGCTAACCAAGCATTACGCGAGACCGGTCTTTTGCTCTCTTGCCTCCAATAGCACTGCACGCAACATGTGAGATACAATATGAACGCCTGAGTTTCCTTCTTTTTTATGTTCACTGCTATTTATTGTTCACATCATTGGGAATGATATGTTCACACAGCTACTTTTTGTTGTCTTTTTTTTTCCTTTTTTTTTTTTTTTTTTTTTTTTTACAATACGTGTATGCACAGGTGGAACTGTTCTTGGAGGCCGTTATCCCCACGTAGCGCAACTGACAGTCCTTGTTTACGCTTTCGTTTTGGATATGCGCATGTTTACGCTACTGGCTACGTTTGTTTATGCCTGGCCAGGGACATTACCCCCCCCCCTTTTTTTTTTACTTTAGTTTTACTTTTTTTAACATTTTTTCCCGTCACAAGAACACTTACACGAGCAAGTCATAGTAGAGATTTAAACCAACGTGTCTCTGTGAGGGGTGGAGAGAAAAGAAATCCTACATTGTTTTGTTTGTTCCGCTTTTTTTTTTTCCAACAGTTTTTGTCATCTTTTGCGATAAGGTTATCACGAAATTTGCATCTCATGGCCATTTATATGCTCTGTGACATGGGAGAATTCGCGACACCAATACCAGCTCCTCCTCGCGCAATTCCGCTGCCCCTTCTCAAGACTCACAACTCTGAGACAGATTGATGAAAGACATGCTTCACCTTTTGCGCTAATTATAGATCGTGAACAAATACAGTACGCGAAATAGTTGGAGCGGAGAGGCCTGCATTTCAAGGAGTGGCCATATACCGTTCTAGCTCTTCCTTTCTATCTCATTATTGTCTTACAGCGCTTACAACGCCAATTCAACGTCAACGCCTTTCGTATTTTTACTCACTGACGGACGGACACCAATGTTGTCGCCTACGTTGGTGCCCCGGATGAGCCCACTGGTAGTTTTGATGACAGCGTTTCACTTGTGAAAGCAAGCGTCAACGATCACTTGTTCCAGCTAACTGTGTCGTGCTCTATATACCCAACAGAAACACAGCGGAAACCTCAAATTCGCATACACATTCCTTGCTTGAAAATTGCCGCTTCTGTGGCACGAATTCAGCACTCGTTTAACGGAAGCATTCGCCAGACAAGAGCTAGGTTTTTTCGCGTTCACTGCGGGATGAACCAAATATTCCACTGTGCGTGGTGGTGGCAAAAACGTGAACTGCTCTCCGTTATATACCGTATAGACAATTGCAAGCACGGTGCCCCGCCTGGTGCCCCATGACATCACGGTCTCGGCTAACTAACTAAAGTGACCACGCAGCTAATGTCAATCCAATCCAATCGAATCTAAAGCCAATGCAAGCTATATATTGACTGTAATCAACGTTACTAAATCAACTCAGTTCCAGAGCTGCCCATTGTGGTAGGGAAACCACAGATATGATCACAGAGATGTTGGCGTGTGTGTTTGGAGGACACAAAATATCCTCCGTGGACGCACTCGCAGATATCTCATGTATTATCGCCACCTCGGAGCGGCGCTGCCATCGAGACTTTCGCCGACATACATTTGAATCTCAGTCAAAGGACTGATGGGATCGGCTCTACTTATTAAGTCACCTTGGAGGTCGGTCTCCAACCGGATTTCCATTGAACCAGAGCCGGCGCTGGTTCGAGGTCAGTCTCCAACACGGCGATCTTGACACCGAAAGCCGAATCGAACCTGAATAACCCGAACCAGCGCGTCCTTCCTGTCGTTGTAGAGCGCTGATCGGTATTGATTACAGTGAACCACTTCTTTCTGCACTGTTGTTAACGTTGTTGTTGTTTTCCCCGCGCTGACTGCGGAGGTACCGATACAAAGCTTCCCATCCGCTGCCAACCAACTCTATAGCCTGATTTCATCTCGCTTCGCCTAATGGATTGCTCGTTTGTATGTCGTTCTTGGATGCTTTCCCTAGTCGAGGTTGCAACCGCTCTCGAATACTTAACAGGGTTGACCTTGAAACAAGTTTGCATCCCTCCGCAACAAAAAAAAAAAAAAAAAGGAAAAGAAAAAAAAAAAAGCGCGCTTTCGGAAGTTATTTGAACACTAATCACTGCAGTGTTCAAATGTTCAATGGGAAGGGGCGATCCATTTCATGCTTCAATGGCGCTGTTTTATCCGTGGAAAAAAAGGATGGACAAATTTTTACAATTCTAACTGATTAATATAAACACTGCGACATAACCATGTTTCAGTGCTGAATTTTATTTTTAGTTTATACAGATTAAAGTATAATGATGAATTGGAGCTCGGCACTACTCACTCTTCTCACTGGCTAATCTTATAAGAGGATACCTTGCGGAAAATGTGGACACTATAACCAACTTTCTTCTATCTTCGATCTACTAACGTTATGTATAGTAACGCCCCATTTGTTAAAGGCTTCTTTTTTTTTTCTTTTTTTTTTTTCGGGGTGCAGAATGTTGGTAGTGCCAATCTGTATGAACCAGAACGAGCTATCCTTGAACGCGCAGTCGATCCTATCCGGTTTCGCATCCTGCCTGTGAGCAAAAAGGATGACAGTAACAGCAGGGAGATCCAGTTTCAGTGTAGATCTCGAGCCACATACGCGTATCTTCCTGGAAATATATTCTCCGATGAGTGCGTACTTAGCATTCAAAGCCACAAACATTTCTCTGCGAACTGCCTTCGCCGTGGTTCTAAATCAATGGGGAAAAAAATATCGTCGTCCGATAAATGCGAGGTTCGGTCAGTGAAGGGATTCGTGGCTGTGTTTAACCCCGTTTTCCAACTACCTATGTCTGGGGAGTGTTAACTATTTAAAGAAGCATAAGAAAGAAAAGAAGAAGAAAACAAGTGCAAGATCCGCGTAGAAAATTTTGAACGAAAACTTAAGATTGCAGGCGGCTTTCAAGCAGTGCCCAAGGGCTCACAGAGATATCACCGCAGCATCTATACCGTTATCGAATGGCTACATAAAGTAACCCTACAATAGTTTTGTTTCCTTCTGTTGCCACTTGCGTCTTTAAGGAGTCAAGGACACTTCTTCCATGTGCATAATACGCGGTACATAGGTTCAGCAGCGTGTAACGAATTTCTGCCGTTGTGTACTGGCGCAATCTGTAGTGTCAAAATGGATGAGAGCGTCGGGTGGCGCGTTTATCATCGGGTGTGGGTATTTTCGTTTGGCCTGCGATCGCTAGACCGTGGAGTGCCGACAGAGCTGGGAAATGGGAGATCTACAGCTATCTGGGCCGGATGCGTTCTCAAGTTTGCAGCACAAACACGCCGTTTCTCAAGGTTCGCATCACAGTAATCCACAAGAGGCCGTCAAAAAGAAGGGGAAAAAAAAAAGGAATGCTAGTCGTCTGTCACATTTGCGCAGGTGAGCCCTTATTGGTGGGCGTCAGAGCTGTGAAGTAACTAAGTAAAGCGTTTTTATATAGATACTTTTATCAGTTGCCATCTCAGCTGGTAGATACTTTCTTATTTGCAATGAAATTTCGGTAAATATTGCTTGCTCACATTTTTTAGGTGACTTGGTCAAAATTGCAGGTCATTCTCAAACTTATTTTGACTAATGCACAAAGTTTTGCTGATAGGGGTACAGAATTCGGGCTATACTGTCGCTGCTTCGAACTTTTCGTACCACGAGCATGCTGACTCAAAATGGAAGTGCGCCAGTATCCTTTCAAGTGTTGGAAACTAAACTAATTCGTTGGTCACCAGTCACAACACACCTCGATGTCATGGGTTGTTTGAAAAATACTTGGGTGTAACTTACAATTCTGTATGCGCCTGTAGTGGTGTTCTTCTTCTTTTTTTAAGAATATAGTTATATTGATAGCTTCATTACATTTCAGCTCAATCGGATCGTAGTTGTAAAATAACGGGAGTATTCCTCTCCTCGGTCGGTTTGGCCTGGCTCGATTCGAAAGGACTTGGTAGGCTTTTGCTCTGTAACCCTGATCGACTCTTGTATTGAGCACACCTACACACGCGCGTCTGCAAAAAGGCAGGCTTCTTTCCTTCAGAGATGGATACATTCCAGGCAAACAGTTTGCTACAAAACACTGCACTACAGAGTCGCCATAAAGACAAGTGACGCCCACGCTACCACCTCAAGGATGTTGCCTGGAACCACGCTTACAATTCACGGGTCTGCGTGTATGGAATGCCTCTCAAATCAACGTACCGGCGTGCAATACTGTAGCCACTACTACCTGTTGCACGTTAAAGAGCCCAGGCCAACGGTGGTGCTGCACTAGCTAAATTTCTCGCCAACAACGAAAACACCAACCAGACGACCATTGGGGCTCACGAACTTCCCGCTGTCTAAACATGCCACAGCAGTTACTTCTGGATACGCCGGTGATGGAATATCGACCACCGTAGAGTATCGTTCTGAACTACGCGTCCGTGTAAATATCGTGTACTTAGACGTTCACCATGTCGGTACCTCGCACAACTAACAGATAAACAGCGGCAAGACGATGGGTTATTTCGTCGCGATTCACTCGTGGACATATCCCTCTTCACACCTTAGACGCCACCATTTTCTACAGCGATATATCTGTTACGGGCTCTTCCCGCCACTGGAAATGACGTCCCTTGTTGTTGTTGTAGTTGGCCATGTAGGGCGTCCGTCGTCGATGTGGCCAAATCCTCGAAAATGATCGCCTGCCGCCCGCGGAAATCGAACCTGGGTCCGCTGCGTGCAAAACAAAAATGATACAAAGAAAAAATGGTGTGTGTATGTTTATACTGCCTAGAACTTATTCTGCCTCTACGGGCGACTTGTCTCCCAGCTGAAGATGAGAAATTGAGCCAGTGCAGTACAACCGTTAA